TAATAATTTCATGCCAAGAAAGGCCTTCAACTTGGCTATGAAATTTCATACTTCTGACCTTTTGTGCGTGTGTTTGCCTTGGGTATGTCGCCATCTAGTGGATAGTTGCTGTAACTGTTATCCAACTGTAGCTCTGTATGTTTATCATTAGTGTGTTTTGATTGGTCAGGTTTGAGGAGAAAGCCCAGTCAGAGCCACTAACTGCACTGAAATATCTTCAAAATGATCTGTCGCTCACTGTGGACCACACAGACCCTGATGAGACCAAAGAGGTATGGAAATATCTTAAGCTTGTAATTTAGTATGAACAGTGGGTGTCTTCACAATTTCTTTTCAGTTCGGCTTTAGCGTTCATCGTGGATGTAGTTTTTGAACAAAAGAGCTAAATGGAAAGGATCAGGAAATACAAATAGAGGCAGAGTTGTAAGCTGTGTATCAGAGTAACCACTGCAGTTGGAGTCTCATCTGTTCAGGCTGTTTCTTTATTCAGCATTGTTGAAGGTTAAAGTGACACAAATTGTGTTGTCTCCTCAGTTTCAGCTCCTGCCCTCAGCCCTCTTTAAGTCTGGCTCTGACTTCATCCCTCTGGGTAAAAATCCTGCCGATGTTCCTATTCAATGATATGTTCTGTATGTCCATATAGGGGCCACAATTAGGTCCAATAACTTTATTATGTGCATGTTTTACTTAAAAGTACTTTACTGAACTAACGATAACCATTTATTAATTAGGTATACTGTACCCTAGTTTGGGATAGACTTTGAGTGGGCAAGAATACTAGATAAACATATTTAATTCATTCCATTCACCATCTATTTTGTAATGATTTAATGCTACAGCTGTTTATAAGTAACATTGAGTTGTTTCAGTTTCAGCCCCAGGTTAAACTGACTGGAAGTGACTAACAAATAAAAAATACTAGAAATAAAAAAATAAAAAAAGTCAAACAGTAATGCAACCTTGTCACTTGGCATGTGATGTTGGCATTGTGATGTTAATTAATTTGTGTATACTAAAGAGCACTGTCCCTGTGAGGTCAGTTTAAAATCCATCCTGAAAGATCTAATCACAAGTGGACAGCTTTATATGTGCACTGCACCCAGCTCTACTATGTTTTGCAGTTGCAAAAAAAAAGAAATCATTATGTTGTTGTCAATGCTGATATCCTGGCCACAAAAAATTATATGGTCAATGAAAAGTGTGAAAAATAATTTTGTTTCATTGTGAAACTTATGCGGATCAGTGAGATAGGCTGTCTATTATATGTGGCCCAGGACACACTTGTGTTCACAGCTAAAAGGATCTCAAGACCTATTGAGGATGCCTTCACACATGTACACTTTCCTCTTGTGTACGCTGTCCACTTGTGATCAGATCACTCAGGAGAGATGTTAATACCAGGTCTGAATGGTAAACACCATTACTATTATGGTCTGTATTTATGTATAGCGTTTTTATTTTGCAATACAGTTTTTTTTTGCCATCTGTGTTCTACATACATACATACAGACAGTGGTATTAGTAGGTAGATAAAGCAGTTGACTCTGGTTGAAATTAACAGTTGTTTTCCTTTTTTCTGTCAGGTTTCTCAGACGTGGACCAGACATATGCTCAGAGGACTCAGCTCTTTGATATGCTAGTCAACTTTTTCCCAGATAGTATGACCCCACCCAAGGGCAACCTGGTAGACCTTATCACCCTCTAACCCCTCCTGCTTCTGACACGCCCCTCCGTACCCCATCTTATCACCCACTGGACTGACTGAACACCACCCATGCACCTGATGGGACAGAGGAAACACAGACCTGTTATTTTTCTATTCCTGAACTTTGCTTGTGGGAGTAAACTTGATGTGAATCATCCCCACCTCTAACACACTGACCTGCTGCTGTCAGGCTGCATTAATGATGGTGATGGTTATAAACACATACACACATTAATATCACTATATAAGCAGAATTCCATGATAGCTTGAAGTGTGTTTTTCCTATTTTCACTCGAATATTTCTTCCAGTTTTTTTTCCACGTACCCAAAGCCCATCATATCCGAACATAGCCAAAACAGTTTTTGTCTGACTTGAATATTTCTTCCCTGAAAAGTTAAGACCAAAAAGGGTATTTCCACTCATTTGTTTTTAGTCTTGTTTCTTTGAATGTTCCTCTTTAAAGGTATAATTCAACGAAAAATGAAAATTCACTCATTATCTACTCACCACTATGCCTATGGAGGGGTGGGTGAAGTTTTGAGTCCACATACTCTTTCGCGTTTCAGGGGTAAACAGCTTTGCAGCCAAAACTAATTTGAAGTAACTGGTGACCACTTGAGCCAGCCTCGACATCCACATCGGACTCAAAACAACATCAGTTACACCATGTTTTTGGCCTAAATGTCCTTTGATATTCTCTTCTGGAGCTGTGTTTGCACACACACACTGCACACAAGCTCTAGCCCAAGGTTGCGTGCGGTAGCAATGCTAGTTGAGATAGCATTGGTACATCCGGTAGCCGACATTTTGACACCACAGGACAGTATGGAAGCTTTTTCTTTTCTTTTTTTCTTTTACATTTGAAGCTGTGCTCACCAGTTACTTAAATTGTATTGGATTTGGCTGCAATGCTGTTTATTCCTGAAACTCCAAAAGTGTTTTGTGGACTCAAAACACTGGACTCAACCACCCCCTCCACGGATGTAGTGGTGAGTAGATTATGAGTCAATTTTCATTTTTTGGTGAACTATCCATGTAGGTTTTATGTGATAAATTATAAGATGATTTATGTTCAGGCCAGTTGTAAAGTCAAGAAGCCAGTTAAATTCAAATTCATGAGTGTTTAATTTTTAATGAGACGGGACAGAACAGAAATAGGGAATAAATTTGCTCTGCTTTAAATATCTCTTACATTTTGGGACACATCAGCTTTCATTTGATGACTTGGTTAGCTTAGTTTTCTGTAACATATGCCCCCATTTATAACAGAGAGACTAACGAGGTGCAACAAAGTATTGTATGAACAATATTGGACTGATTCTAAGAGATAAAGTTTAATATATATCTAAATATACATTTATATTGGTTTTTGGGTGTTATCCATGTAAAATGTCTGTCCTCTGTCGTTTATGGGCAGAAGCTTAACTATTAGACATCTAATGTTGTACAAAATATGTCAATATACATGTAGGATTATTTTCAAAGATTCTTGGATTGAACAGATCCTATCATGGATCATGCTCTTCCTTGTCCCTCTTAATCATAAACTGTGCGTCTATATACAGTTACCTTCTGGTTTTATATGTCGTACTTATAATTACTCATTGGGAAAAATTTCAAATAACTGGTGTGTGAGTTTTAATGAATTGCTGGTAATCCAGGGGGAGAAGGTGTTTTAGGTCAGTTTGGTGTTGACATGTTTGTTCTGTATGATAAAGATGTTGGTATTTGTCTCTCCACTGGCGACAAGCAGTGGCCAGTGAACATGATGTATCAAGAACACCTTGAGGGGGTAATTTCTTCAAGTGTGGTACTAAACATTCACTTGGACTCAAGGATGAACCGTTTAGATTTTGCTAGTCAAAGGTCAAGGTCTCGCTGGCCTCACTAAAACACGTTTTTGGTTTGGAACACAACATCTCAGGAACACCTTGAGGATATTTCTTCAGATTTGGTACAAGTCAAAGATGAATGATTATGTTTTAGTGGTCAATGGTCTGGGTGATCTCTTGACTTGTGGATGTGATGTATCAAGAACACCCATAGGCAAATTCATCATGTGGCTCAAACATTCACTGTGACTCAAGGACGAGTCAAAAACCTTTTTTGCCTTGTGAATGCGTTACCTGAAAAATAACTTGACCTTTTAGATTTAGCACAAAGTTCCCTTAGACTCTCAAATTAATTAATAAGGCTTTGGTCCACTAGGATCAAGGTCACAGTGGCCTCTTAAACATGATATCGCAAATCTCTGAGGGAATTTTTTTAAATTTTGAACAGTTGTCACCTGGAACAAAAAATGAGCTAATTCAATTTCAATGGGCAAACTTCACGATGACCTCAGAGTCCGGAAAAATTAATAATAATAAATACATTTTCTGTGCATAAACAGAAGCATGCAGTTTCGCACCTCTAGGGCACTTTTTGGTGATGTCACACTCAATATATTTGACATCTAAAGGAGGTATTGTCTTCTTTACTAAAACTCTGCCTGGCTCCCATTATCATTCATCAGTTTCCACAGACAGACTTGTCCATTGGAAATAAATCAAGTATCATGTTATAGAAATAATGAAAAGACTGCAGAAAACCATCTTGGCTTAGTGATTTCTGCATAAAAGGACAGAAGAGCGAACAAATAATAATCTACTTACATGGAGTGTGCTCAGTCCTTTTTAAGCCTGTTCTGTGTGCCAAAGAAATAAACTAAAGCCAGCAAGCCTGCTTACAGCCGATCACCCAGTCAACCAGAAACTGAATTCCTGAGTAACTTTAAAAAAAGACTTTTTAAATAAATGTGCCAGTTAGTACCTCTCTCAAGAGAAGCTTAGCTAAAGAGCTTGGAGCTAGCATTATTCATGTAACCAACAAAATAATTAAATACAAGCAGGTCTGAAGTCAGAACCATATAAACCTTATATTTCATATTATTTAGAGCAGAGAATCAAGATTAAGAAAATTGATACATGAACAACTTTAATTACATGACTTGGCATTTTGTTGGAAGTGGCTATGGTATTAGTGGAATAATAGCTTGTATGTTCCATACAACTGGGCGGCAAAGAACTGTGAGAAGCTGCTCAAGTCTTCTAGCAGGAGGATGATGATCACACTCAGTTACAGAGAGAAGCCCTGAGTTGTTAAAGGACAGTTGCTGCATGTGTTTAGTTAAAGTAGCAGAGGTAAACTGTCGATCTGCTTATACCAAATCATATTTGGACTTTGGTGTAGTTTTGGTTTGTAGTCAGTCTCTGTCAGACATACAGATTTCTCATATTATGGGGGTATAATTTCATCAGTGTTATTTGTTTGTATGATAGTTGGCGGCATTACCTAAAAACTACCCAATGGATTACCACAATACTTGGTTGAAGGATGTGGAATAGGTTAGAGAAGAACCCATTCAATTTTCTGGATCAGAGGAAAGAAGCAGGAATATTTGCCACTTTTTTAACGTGGCAAGATGTTTTTTATGATTTTTTTATTTTTATTTTTTATTTTCACCAATTTCAATGGGAGCAATGCAAGGCTCTAGATGAAAAAAAACAGCTTTATTTAGGGGACTGATATGAATGTGTACAATTTTGATGCAGTTGATTGAATTTCAGTGCACTGGAGGTATGCACTCTTGGAAGTGCTATTCTAGTTTGTCAACTCAAAAATATATTATAAGAAATTATTCATTTGTCAGGTGAAAGTAACAAACAGTTCTCTTTGCATCACAAATGGTACATGATTGGTAATAATGTGCTGGATCAGTCTGCCTGACGAACGCTGACGGCAGATGAAGAAAACGAGCTGGGTAAAAAGATAATGGTATATTTACTTTCATGTTTAACAATTTTTTCAATGCTTTTGACTTGAGGGTCTATAATGAGGGAAAATCGAGATTTGATTTTGAGATCGAACCTAAATTACTAGCTTTTATGAATCCCCCTATAGTGTTTTTTGATGGATAATGGCATACACCTAATGTACTTATTTACCAATGTTTTGCAGGGTTAAGCACATAAAACCACAAGTCTTGTACTTATAACAAAAGCCACTGTCTTTGGCACTGTCTTTAAACTTTACCAGAATTACAGACTACAAGTACAGTTTACAGAAATTACAACACAAATTATATAAACATGCTAACCAATAGATGTTCTGAAAGGGTACTGGCATGGTGAGAGAGAGCATTCTAAGAGGAAAGGGCTCTGCATGCAGCTCTACAGAAGAAGGGGCACAAAGGCCATGGTGGTCGTAGTGCATACAATGATTTTCTGGGCACTATGGCATGATGAGGCTGGCACGAAATTCCCACCCTGCTCAGCAACAGGCAGAGCTCAGCTCAACACCAGCCCTGCTCTGTAAGGGTATACTGTATGGATGTATTGTCCCACCCCCTCATGATCGATTTGCTTCAAAAGTTTATCATCTGGAGATACTCTCCCAAGTAATAATCCTAATGGATGGTGAAAATCCATCCATTCTTCCACACTTGGTTTACCCCTTGACTGGTGGCTCTCAGTTTGTGTCCTGCTTTGCAGACTACTGTGAAAATCACCTTGATGAGCGTGAAGCAGTGACACACTGTACAAAACACTTGTTAGATGGTGCTGAAGTTAGCTGTTATAAATGGGGGACAGGGCAAGAACTACAGTATCCTTTAGGTGATAGTTGGCACTAATGTTGGAGGAGTAGTTCAGTATTGTTGCCTTCTCGGTGAGAGTTAGCTGAGAAGACTAGAAGCAGGGGGAATGGCAAACCTGCTTCTGTCCAAAGATGAGTCTGACCGCCCAGCAGCCTCCAGTGGCAACAAAGCAAGTCACTTGACCTGGCCTACATACAGTCTAAACTCCCTGTAAAAYGTAGGATTTTCTTTATACAGATGAAAGAAAAAAAGATCAAAGTAACCAGTAAGTTTTACAGATGCTGGAGTTGGATATTTTTTTCCCCTTTGGACAGAGCCAAGCTAGATGTTTCCCTGTTTGTTGTCTTATTGTAGCTTCATGTCTACAGTGCTATTAATCTTCTCATCTAACTCTGCAAATGTATGTACTACCAAAAATATATTGATTTAAAGGTGCGTGATTTGTACAAACAAACTGAAATTTTAAGACAAAAAACATTGTTATAGTCCTTTGAGTGTCCGAGACAATATTCCTACCAACCCCGTCAGAGGAACAGTTTCATGCTTTAATTGAATGCACTTGATTAACTTTTMATTARGTGAACCATTGTTTAAAGTATAATGAGACTGGATGCTCTGCTACACCATCTTCACTGTAAATAGTGTTGCTGGTGTGTTGTTAGCGGAGATTTAAAAAATAAATTTCCAGAAAGTGCAGCATCAGAATGGACCGACAATACCAACCTGCTACTTAAACAGCCTTTAATTCCTTGAATACATCAGTGGAGGTAAATAAAATCTTTACAACAATACCATAGAGATTTCTTGATACTGTTCTGATTGCTTTGTTGTTTTGTGTTAATGTTTGTTTTGGAAAGGAGGATGGCATGTGTATTATTTTTTTGTGTATTTTCTGCCCTGAATGAAAACAAATATCTGATTATTTAAAAAAGAGACACTGAACCTATAAAGGATGATTTTTTACCTTTAATTCAAGAATTCAAGTGAAGTATCTTCAATGGTATTTGGACATTTAGGGCTCATCATGCTTGCTAAGCATTTTCTTCTGTTTTGTGCCAGCGGAATTAAAGACGTAAGCGCTTTTGTAAAGGACACTTTGCCAAATGCTGTTAGCCATTTTATGATAAAGCTCCCCACACAACAAACTTTGCTGTACGGTTGGTTATCTTGTATTTTGCCCTCTTGGCCTCATTGTGACCTTTGGGTGRGACTTGGAAGCTTTAAGGGTGGCACTCTAAGATAATGGAGCACTACTGTGTGGATTCAGTGAATGTGTAGAAAGCCTTGTAGTATTGCATTGTATGTAATGTATATAATAAATAAAGACTGTATTTTGTTGAGCTTTTCTTAACTACTTACACAGTGGTGTTTCTGCCCTCTAATTGCCATTTCTATACATATTTCTGAAAGTACNTAATTCCTATTATAATGGAAGGCCAGAGAGGAGAGCAGAAGAGATTACTGCAACTAACAGCTTTTTTGATTATCAATAGCTGTCAATTCTTTTTCCCAATTAATTATTTGTTTGGTAATTTTGTTCAAAATTATTTTTTATGAGTCCCAAATCCAAAGATGTGTGGTTTAATAGGTGACTATAAAAATATTTCTGCTGCGTTAATTGATTTAATTGACTAATTGTTTCAATGCTATTAATGGTTTATTTGTTCAAATGATAATATGAAAGCTGGAACATTATCAGTACTTATGTCCTGAGTTTGAATGAAAATGACAAGTTAGATTCAAAGCCCCTAACTTCAGAAAAGTGTGTAATGTGAAATTATAAACACTACCGATGTGTATTTTATTGAGTGCTCTAGGATAGCAAAATAAATGCCCCTGATTTCAGAGATCCAAAGAGGATATATTCAAATATATTACAAATCGAATTCTTAAGTTAACAAAATAATGTTAAGAGGGTAAGTAGGGGTAATTTATATATTTATATATATTGCTCCAAATGAATGAAATGCACAATGCAGTAGTAAAAAGAACTTAAGTCAAATTTAAAAACCGCTGAGAAATTTAAAAGGTGACGACAGGTGTGGACCACCCTTATATTCTATTCATGCCACATCACAACAAAATATATTTGGAATATGTCCCCTCTGACTTTTCATACACCCTACAATCCTATGGTATTTTGGATAAAATCACTTCTTATTCCTACAACTGCATCTGTTTTAAGCATTGTCTGTTCAGCTCTGCAATTTATTAATTATGTTAGTGGTCAGTTTTCCTCATGGCCCACAGAAAGTAGTGGAAATCACCTAGATGCTTTAAAGTGTACTGAGGTGGTTAGGTGGTGACTTTGGAACTGTTGAGGCAGCTGATGCAATTGTTACCTGTCTCATCTGCTTCTTGAACATATGGAGCATGTAGTTTGGCCTCGCCTGCATGCAAAAGCTAATGCAGAAAACATCCACACAACTGTTTGTAAGAAGGTTTTGACACTCTTTCAGAATTTGTTGAATGACGTGTAATAAATTAGACAAACATCTTTGAATTGTGCTCTCAGAGACGTAAAACTTATATTAAAACAATTTTATAAGCACTTTTGTGCCCACACAATTGATTGGATTTCAAACATGTCTATTACATTTTCATGTCCACCATTTCTGATTTTATTGTTTCTTTATCCTCAGTGTTTGAATTTTGACCCTTATTTCTCAGTAATGGATCAATCAGAGCAGGTCAACACCATTAATGTGGTGGCTTAGTTTCTCTCGCGCATTTACTTGTCTAATTAAATGTCCTGTCAAGCAAAAGGATTCCAGGGTCAGGAGTGTAAGACTAGTTGGTAGGGCTGGCATAGAGTGATAAATGTGAATGCTTCTGTTTGTCTGGACTGGAACTGACCAGGTCCTGTTATCCTCTCTTTTCTCTTCTTCTTCTCCTTCGTCCCTGCACCTTACAGGTGGGTGTCCTCCTCATCAAGTAAGTCCTCCTTCAGCAGGTTGTCAATGGGGACAATCCAGCTGTCATTGTTGAACTCTCCATTTAACACTGCCTTCTTCTCCTGCATCTCTGGCTGCACCTCCATCACTTCCAGCGTGGGGTTGTCATGGTAACCATTCTCCACAGTGTGCAGCTCCTCTGTAAGGTGTTGCTGCAAAGTTTCACAGGACAAAGTCTAGAAAAATTTCATATTTAATCTGCATCTCAGACCAGGTCATTTCTAATATCATTTAAAAAAGTAGCTTGATATCGCTTCCAGTGAATTGACACTATTATGATGTTTCTAATGTGCTTTTACAGTTAAATACCAAAACAACAGTTTTAATTTTGGATTTGTAAAAGTGAATTAATAGAAGAATTTGTAGAAGATTAATGTGATGTAACCCATGAAGTGAGATATGGGACATTATTCTAATCTACAAACCAAGGTTATCAGTTGGCCATTAGATTTAGTGAGATCAGAGTTTTTGTTTGCTTGTGTGACATGAGTTAGAGAGTCAGATTTCCCCATGGTGAGGGATCCTGAGAGGTGAGGGGAACAAGAGAGTTGAATGCCTTTGAAGTAAAACATTAGCATTTTCTGAAAGTAATTTTTGAGTCTGTAGAGATGTGGGGGACATGTATTTACATTTAAAAACAGGTATAAAGTGAAATAATAATAATATGGTCCCTTTACTGGACTTCATAACTGCCACCTCTGTTCAGTTGTGTGGTGCAAGTTGGTTCTGAGTTTGATTCCCCATTTGGACACTACTAGTAGCTTTTACAAGACTGTACATAAGAAGTGCTAACTCTATGTTGAGGTCATCTTTATTTTAAATTGTTAGAATGAAACCTGTATACATGTACGTGCTTTCTTCCTTTCTAAATTTAATGATACATGGGTATGTGTATTTCTTAACAGTAGCATTATGCTGTTTTTTATTTGGTTATGTTGTTTTTTGTTAATCCAGTCCAGTGGACTGAAAGATATGAAACTTAATCTAAATGAGGTTATTCCATTACCATGCTATTATCATTTTCTGACCTAATAATATAAGCTTTCGGTTGAAACTCTTAACCTATTGCATGACGTCATTGTCTGCCCTCTGTGATATCATATAACAGGGGATCATTTTTTAATCAAGACAGACAGACATTTTCTCTATAGCTCTGTTATATGTGGAGACATTGTTACTTTGACTTTCAAGAACATCTGAAGTGGGTCTTCAAGTGTGAGCACTAACCTGGTTCTCGTTGAATGACCTGCGGTGGTGGGAGGCACAGATGGCGAGGATAAAGATCATGATGAGCAGAGCTCCACATGAGGCCAGGATGGCTATCAGCGTTTTATTATCTGGTGGTTTCTGGAAGTAAAAAATACAAAAAGTGTCCTGCCTTTAAAGTACACCGATATTTGAAGCACTTACCTTTAAGCTGTTTACATACTGAACAAAACATCTCTATGTTTGCACTTACCTTGGTGATTTCCTCATAATACTCGGTTATGAGGCTGGTTTTCACTGTAAGGGAAATTTGAAGTTATTTGTGTACATTTTCTAAAATATATTTAAATTAATAAGTATGATTTAGTAAAGGGAGGAGGGGTCTTTACCTTTGCCATTTATTTCCACACAGTCAAACTGTACTTTGCCATTTTTGTGCCTCCATATCAGGGTGCAGTTTCCATTTTGCAAATTTGCCATCAGCCGCTTGCACATCTCTGCCAGTTCCTTGTCTTTCTCTTCCTGAGGGTAAAATAATGACATATCTGTAAAAATCTATGCACATAATAAATACGCCACATCACTTATTTGACTTTGCCATAAACAAGCAATAACACTGATCAGTTACGACACTAAAAGCAGTAAGCGGTTTTAATGTGGCCAAGGCTAGGGGTGATAGCTGAGGTCATATCTTCCAGTGGTGAGATGTAAGGATTATTTTTTGATGTATTATCAAAGACTCAGCTGGTAAGCATATAAATGAGTGGGAACAAAGGAAACTACTACTAAGACACTATTTCCACTGAGATCCAGTCTACGGGTTGGAGATCTACCCACAGTTTGTGGACTGAAGGTGGCAATCACGGTTGATATTTTTTGACCAATTAGACTGTGAAAAGCTTTTATGTAGTTTTCTTTTGTACATTTTTCAGTCTCACTGATTTGTTTCTGTTAGTTTGTGGAAACAAAGCAGCAGTATGGTCCAAAGAAGTCAGATATATCAGGTTGTAGATACACATACAGTATGTGTTACCAGGACTCACACAACTAACTAATGCTAACATTAACTTACTCACTAATACAATATGAACAGAAGTTAACACAAGTCACTACATGCAGTGAAAGCTGATCTAAAAGCCTTAGCACTATAAAAGGATATAATGGTAAAATAGTATTAATCAACACGACTTATTCCTGCTCTTCCTATTGCACAATGACTCCCCGTCTTTAAAGTGAAGAAGATTTTAAGAAAAAATGTCTGTGAAGATGAATGGAAGGCTGTCTCCATCAACAGGACAATGGCAGAGGCTTGATAAGAGTCTGTGCAGGAATTGTTTTTATTATAACATGTAGTGTTCATGTAAATATAGACTGTTTGAAACACACTTAAAGACAGATGGTAAAAGAAGAAAACCCTTACCTCAGGTGTGCTGTTTAGAGAATACTGAAAAAATGTCAGAAAACAAGTGTCAGTCAAAAGCATCCATGAGTCATTTCTGCAAAATG